CCCTCAGTTTAGTCCCTAGATGGTTTTAACAAGTTTTTTTCCTCCCATTCATTTTTACAATGACGAACACCCGCTGATTTTTTCTTGGTTGTCCACCAGACAACTGGGAGGTGGAATCTGGTTGTCCAAAATGAAAATAGGTTGTCTCGGACAACCTAAACAATGGTTATGTCAAACCCTGGTTAATGATTGAAAACAACCCAACTTCTATCAGCAGAATAGTTTGTTTACAAAAAATAAAATACAATAAATAGATAAATAAAAGTCCAGTACGTTTTACTCTCAACAATTCTCAGCATTTATCTGGTTTGAATAAAACAGGTTTTACCTAAAACCACTGTATCTTGTAAACAGTTGTGGAATATCAGTGCTTTCTTTTCACACTAAAACAATGTATTTGCGGAAAATAAAAAAAAMTGTTGTGAATTCTACAATTTGAGTGCCAGTATCTACTAATTACTATTGATTTAGGGGGAGAAGGGGTAATATTTGTATTTGTAAAGCTTAATGCTACATAATTCACTTTTTTGAAGCCTTTCATGATGTCTCTCTACAGCTTTTTCTTCATCTGAAACCTGCTGATATGGGCAGCTGTAAACAACAACCTGCAGCTGCATTTCAGTGCAAACTAGGCATGGGCCGAATACTGGTTTCAAGGTATACCATGAAAGGAAAAGGTCACGGTTTGAAAACCACTAAAATCTTCTGTCATACCGTGCCTATGGTATGTTAATTTTTTTATTCCTCGGGTCTGTTCCGCTGCAGATGTTCCCCYGCGCACTCCTGCAGAGCTGCCTGTTGGCACTCGCTGAAAAACAGAGTTTCCCAAACTTTTTCCCTGTCTAAAATAATAAATCCAGCTATGTGGAAATACGTAGGATGCTGTAAAGACGACAGCAATGTGGACAGTGGAGGCTTCTAACATGATCGCAGGTCCAGKTAAACTTATGCTATCTTGAAATGAACGAGCTAATGCTAGCATCAGATTGTGTGAAATAGGCCTACATAACCACGTTRCTGTGCCTTAATGCACCGATCACAGATTGTCTGCAAAACTGTTTGAGTTGTTGGATTATGGATTTGATAAGTTTTATGTGAAAGGCTATAAAACTAAATGCCTCCTTTAGCCGAGCAGCTCGTTAGCTGAACGTGAGTTTCATAAACACGCATTCATAGTTGTTATTTCTTGTTTCTGTGTGCATATAATTATATAATCTTTACGTCAAAAACCCTTTTGAAATTTAAAAACACAATAAAAACCTCCAACGTGATACATTACTTCAATAAAAAGACTTGTCGTGCAGTATACACTGATTTGTCTTAAATAATAAAGCAATAGAAAAGCAGTTATCTTACTTCAATAAAATTTCAGCATAACACCTCAGAAGCATAATTCAGAGATAATGGGCCTCATGCAAGAACCGTTCGTACGCACAGATTTGTTCTTAAGTTGTGCGTACGAGCGATTTAGGAG